AGACTCGGGGAAGATCCCCTGGAGGAGGGCACGGCAACCTTCTCCAGTATTCTTGCCTGGAGAATCCATGAACAGAGGAGCCTGGCGGGCTACAGTCCAAGGGGTCGCAAAGAGTCGGACACGACTGAAGCGACTTAGCACATACGCACATCAAACTTAGCCAAGATTTCAGGGCAACAGGTTTGCCAAGCCCACCATATTCATCAGTAGGAAAGAAGACAAATGAATATTGTCTTATCTGCTATATCAGACAAGATGCAACCAAGAAAACAGACTCTGCACCAGTTATTTTAGGAGAATTTAATGTAGGGATTTGGTTACACAGGTATTTGATGACTGAAGGACAAAAAGGAACACAGAGGTAACACAGGCAGTAACTGCCATTCTTGGCATTCATGAACAAAAGGAAAAGGAAGGAGTAGGAGCTAGAAGCTTTCCGGGGAAGCCTGTGGAGCTGAGGCTCAGACCCCTAGTGTGGGGCGCTCTCCAGCTGGTATAAGAAGCCAGCTCCCCAGGGGAGGGCCCCGACAGAGCTGGGACTCGTCTCTTAGGGAGACATTGGTTGCCGCTGTTATTTTTGAAGGAGGGCAATGCCATCAGTTCTGGGTATGGGGGAAAAAAGCAGAACTAAAAACTAGAACCAGCTCGTGCTGGAACAAATGACTGTGGTCAGGCGCAGGCGCGCAGTATTGGCAAGTGGGCCAACCGGGGTCCCTCCGCGCCTCGTGCCTGTTGTGCGGGGTCCCTCTAGCGCCCTCTATTGGCAGACCCTCCCAGGGAGCCGGGGGGCAAAGGAGACATGCGTTTGCCTACTCTCAACCTCATCACCACAAAGAATACAGCCGTGGGTTTGGGGCTGAGACAATAGCTGAATAACCAGCACACTAATGTAATTGGACAACAGACACTGTGAAAATGCATGAAGTAAACTGATGCTGACTTGCATAGATTAAACTCATAATTCCTTATGCAAAAATAAGAAATACGCAGAATATGTGTAATTTGGTGCCATATATACAAAGTTTAAAAAGATGAAAAATAGTACTCAAATACTTTTATGCATATGTAATGAACTGCCAAGAAGTCGTAAGAATGATCAAAAATAATCTTAGGATAATGACTTCCTCTAATAAAAGCAGAAAACGAAAGAAGAAGAATGCATTTGGAAGGAAATGCAAAAAGTATCCACTCTGTTTGTAACATCTTATTCCATAAACTGGGCAGACGGTACATATTCTTTCACTTAATGTCTTGTACTATCCCTTTATCATTTTTTCTAGTATATTTGGATTTCTTTCTTTTACATTAGTATTTATTTGATTTGATTGAGGTATTTAATCGATGAATATGTTCCTAGCTATGAGGCATGAGTTAGGACTGACTAGTAAGGCATACATCTACCCTCCTACATACTTCCTGTACCCAGCTGACTAGTAAGGCATACATCTACCCTCCTACACACTCCTGTACCCAGCTACACACTTCGTATTTTTATTTTCATGGGTCAAGAGCATATTTATACTAGATGTCTCCCAGTAAGAGTAGATAATAAGCAATTGCTTTTACATCATGTCCAAATGACAGTCCTCTCACTAATTCACTGATATGTTCTATACATCCCTCAGATATGTAAATCTGAATTCATATATGGTCATACTGGAAGTATGGTCTGGCCAATGAAAGATTTATATCTCATACAGGAGGATCTACAGAATTATCATGTCCCAAATACAAACGGACATCCATTCTGGGCATCCATTCTCTCTTCTTAGTAATTTAATTTTTTTTTTTTTTTTCAGTTCATTCAGCAGCTTTGTTTCAGGCATTGCGCTACAGGTTAGAAATACATTATGGACAGTAAGCATGATTTCTTCCCTGAGAAACTCATTTCAGTGGTAATTATATAAAATGTGATAATTTTTATAACATGATGTAAGTACTTACCAATGCTTGAGGCTTGAAAGAACTTAGAACAGATGTAAAATCTAGTAGAAATAATTTATTTTAGGCCTTATATTCTGTGCTTTAAAATCTACCATTCCTTATATTTTAAATTAAGTCTTAAAATTTATAATCTCTGGTGTTTTTGAATTCTAGCAAATGGAGCCTTACTTTTAATCTTGAAGTTGCTATCGTGGATCTCCTAATTATAAATAAGAGAAGGGCAAACTATATGCAGGTGGATGGGTGATGAAAATCAAACAATAAAGCCACCTGAAGTGTGTTTTATGTGAGGTCTGATGCCAAAAACATTAAATTCCTGTCCTATGGTAACTATGTGAGAGTCCTTATAAATTGTCTATGAAAACACCCATTTTAGCCCTTTGGAATTCAAATATTTTGTAAGTCTGTTATACCTGCCCTTAACTTACAAAGCTTTTTGGCTCATTAGTCATCCTGGGTAACTGTTTTCAAATTTGACCTTCTGATTCTAGAAGATATATAAACTGTTATATTCTTTATCATAAAAAAAGAATACTGGCCTCTTTTTTGGTTTCTTTTCTCTTTATTCATGAAGGGTTAAAAAAAAATCGGACTCTTAGAAAGCTAATCTTTAAACAGCATTATGAAAATTATCAATATCCTAGAATGTTTTCATCATTTGATATTTCTTTATTTAAAAGATTAGAATCATAGTATAAAATGATCTAAGTATAAGAATTTCTGAGTCTCCAGCCAGCAGACCGAATTTCAAGAGTTTGACAGGAGTAACTGAAGGGTATTTTCTTTTTAATTAATATCTGAGATAAAAAAACAAAAGGTTCATAAGAGGAGCAGGGGAACAGGGCTTATAAGTCTTACAGTTGATCAAAGCTATCACCAGGGTTATTCAACTCATATTTATATGAGATGTCACAAGTCTCTTGAGGACAAGTAAGTTAATATCACTCAGTTTATCCCTACTATATTTCTCCTTTTATCTTCAAGGTGCCTGGAAATTCTCTGGGAAGATTGTCAAAATATCTTCTTTCCTCCTCCAAATACTACTTCATGTCTCCAGATCCTGTAACTAAAGGAATCCTCTTCACAGCTGTTACTGTTTTCATATCCAAGTATCTTTCCAAGAATGACTTTGTTAGAGGTATCTGTGTGTGCCTGTGTGCTTGTGTGTATATGTGTGTGTGTGGTATGACCAAATTTACATAAGCAGTCCTCAGCTCTAAGATTTTTTTCATAACACTTATCTATGAAATACCTAGGAGATACGGTCAGAATGGAGTTAGAGAATGTGAATGGACTTTTAAAAAGAGGTCAAAACAGGAAAAAAAAATTACCACTGGAAATCACTCATGTAGATGAAAGAGCTGACACCATGACAATGGGTCAAAATGCAAAGGTGGACTAAAAAAGGCAGAAAGTAGAGGTAATGATCATTGCAGAGAAGGCTGTGAATATATGTTAGAAATTACTGGACTAGATTGTATAAGGTCGCCGGGGCAAAGTCACAGAGTGGCAAAGAGATCAGAGAGAATATATAGACCATGTCCCAGTACTTGGTACCTGGAACATAGTATGAAATCAACAAATGCTGTCTGAATGAAGGGACAAAAGACGGAGGGTGAGCGCTGAGGGGAAGCGGAAGCTGAAGAGAGAAACTGGGAACCTTGCTCTCTGTAACAGAGCATTTCAGGAAAAAAGGATGAGTGGAAACCATTACCTTGGTTATTCCCTCCAGAACCACAGGAGACTCAAGAACGAACATGAGATTTTAAGGTGAGACAGAAAGATGTTTATCAAAGAAACTGGACTCTCACCTTAGATTCTTTAGAAATTAAGAGCTACTCCTTCAGGTGCATTTCCCTGAATCAAGGCCAAATGAAACTACACTTAAGTTGTTTGGTAAATAAAATGTGCGTGTGAAAACCACTGATGCAACATTGTAATGCAAACAGTTTTACAGTCAAGTACTCTTAGTTTTCCTGGGGACTGGCGCTATTTGTTTTTCCTTCTTGCTTTTGCTTTTAATGAATTCTAGTATAGCTGACAACTCTAAATGTGAATCAGGGGAAGCACTGTCCCTTAGAATCTGTGAGGAAATCCTTGTTTATATCTTTCTCAAACCAGTGAGTTTAACTTCAGAGGCTGACTACCAGTCAACACTGAAACTTCTGAAAGTGAGATACGATTGCGCATGCATCATAAAACAGGCCACAAAGCCATTGCATAATGTCTAACTTCCTCAAGCAAAATTGACAAATCTGAAATGTGCTATATTTTATGAAAAGATAAAAGAGCATACAGTTTTGATGATTTTGGAATATTACATACATGTACATTCCCCATCACTAAAAACAGACTACTCAATGTTGAAAACAGTGTTACTATTAACAGTCTTGGTCTCTGTGTTATGGTATTTGTGGCTGTTAAATTATACCACAGCCATTAAGTAGGACTATTTGGAGCTATGACTACCCAAGAAACTGGACTAGGTGTTAGTTTTTCTAGAACATCTCAAAACAACTTGTTTTGTTAAGATAAACTTAAACATTGGAGTTTACGTTTCCAATGGAATTCTGATGAGTTTGTTTCCATCTGATTAGAAAGCAAATCCCCCCACAATCATTAGCACAGAAAACTGAATGAATTCAAGTTGTCTTTAATGTCAAATGGAATTCAGTCATAAGTCTCAGTTCCCCTCATTCCCATCATTACTGCTCTCTTTCAAGGCTGTCACTGCATTTAAAATGTCCCTGAATCTCTTCACTCTGCTCCTGCTAACATACACATAAGTAGACACAATGTTATATGGCAGATAAGGCTGGAGCCAGGATTTGATCCTCATCTATCTGGCCCAAACATCAATCATACCATTATACCATACTGTGATATTTCAGCATAGGCAAAAAAAGAGGCAAAATTCCTGTACCCCTTAAAAATAATCCTTGATTATTTCGTTGAGGAAAAAATATTTGGAAATAATTGGTCTATACTAGTGAGCTAGTCATTCAATATTTCTTAGTAAATCTGCGATGAATCAATGACTATGATAAAGTGATGTTCTACACCATCACAGTATACTGCAAGGTTATGATCATTAATAATGTGGGTATCATCAGGTACGTTGTTGCTGAGTTGCTGGTCCCGCCTGAGATGGAATGTGCATCCTTGGTGTACCATCTCCCAAAGAGCGACACTGTTAGGACAGGCTCAGATGATCCATTCTTGTTTACCAAACGCCCATCTTCTAGTACCTAAAGGAAAAGTGGGAAGAGTATGGCCAACTTAATTAAAATATACATTACATGCAGACTCATGATTTTGAGACCACCCTAGATATCACAGTTGATCAAGTAGGTTACTAGGAAAGGGGCCTGGGGCCAGGGCTTGGGGAACTGGTGGGAAGGGTAGGGGACAGCTATTTTATATGTAAGGAAGACTAGAGCCATTCTATAAGGTTCAATAATTGAGTTTACACAATCAAATGTAACCTTTAAGAGAAAGTCAGAAATCATCAGTAGGAAAAATTTATTGAATCCAATTATATGCAGGATAACCAGGAGCCAGAAGAGTACAAATCATACTCTTCCCTCAAGAAGCGTAAAAGTTAGTGCTCAAAACAGCAGATTCCAAATATAAAGAGAGAAATCAGTATAATAGTATCTTGGCAAGAGAAACAGGTATGTGCTTAGGAAGTCTGAGAAGGAATAGCTGAACTGGTCAGCTTCCCAGAGTGGGAAACAACCTGCTACAAGGAGGAGAATTTCTCCCTGGGGTTGTATGACGGAAGACTCTGTGCCAAGTGAAGATCAAGCAGCAAAAGCTCATTCTAAGACAAATATGTGTGTGGCGGGGGCTGGGGGGGGGCACTGTGGGTGGCCTTCCCCAGACTCACAGTGTGCTAGGCAATGTGCGTGCTTTCTCATTCCTGTTTGCTTAGAACCAGTGAGATATTTGCCCCATTTTATAGGTAGGAAATTCAGAGGTTAACTGACGCACAAACTTGCATAATTAGTTTCAGAGACCAGTGCCGTGGTATGTAAGCTCACAACAGACTGTTAAATCTCCAGGAACTTTGACAGCTGGTTGTTAAGCATGGCTGTTCTTTTTTTTTTGAATACATTTTGAAGAACCAAAGTTTATTTTGTCTTTATTATCCCTCTTTGAGGGATGCAATCATTGGCTGTTCTTGAAATTGATCGTGGTGAGAGTACTTACACCATGATAATTGGCAAATGCCGCACATCAGAGCTTTGCTTCTCCCTTAGAGAGTGGCTTGTTACAATTTATAGTGCATCACTAGTTGAAGATTAGTGAAGAGAAGACTAAGGCATATGGTCAAAAAGAAAAGCAAGGGTTAGATATGCAAAAATTGTGAACGATTGGATCTCTCCTGAAGTCACAGAGGCTTCTCTGTAACGGAGTAATGTATGCAAAACAATGGAACAAGAAGAAACACAAATAGACAACAGAACAAGAATAAAGAAAATGAATTTATAGAAAGAAACACAAATAGAGAGACAAGAGAACAAGAAATGAATTTATAGATAAATTATAGATAAAGAAAATGAATTTATCAGTTGTGGAAAGGACAATTTGGATGGGGAAAGAACTTAGAGGGTAAGAAATTAGATGCTTCATAACTAGAAGTAGAAAATAGCTAAATATCCTCAAAGATAATTATTCTGGTGACACATAAACATAAAAATACAGCTCACTAACAAGTTGTCAAATGCACAACGTGTTGGTAGTTAGTTAAGTGTTCATTGTTTCTAAATTGTTCCTTGCTAACTAAACTGTTCGTTAAAGGAACAAAAATGAAATACCAGAGGTATATTTCAAATTATAGTTGGGTGAAAGTTTGAAACAAGTTAAACACAAATATTTAGTTTTCTTGTGACTTTTCATTAATATAGTAAAATCGTGTCTATGTTAACTTCCTTGGGATTAACTTTTCCATGTCAGTGATTGTTATCTTAGGTTCTAGCTAGAATTTAGCATTTTTACTAGTTTCCTGTTACAAATTTTCCTAAAATATACCGTATAATTAATTGACCTCCTAAATAGTATATACTCAATATAATTTGATCTTTTTGATTATTCTCTTACACTGGGAGTTCTTACCCACAAAAATCAAATCAATCAATCAACCCACCAAAATGTGGGACTATGGAAAAATACAGGTCTCACCCCCAGAGACTCTGATTTACTGATCTACAATGGGACTGGTTGCTTACTCTTCCAGTCCGTCTGATAATATACCAGAGTTAACTTCAAATAGTAAAGCAATGTTTCCCAGAGTTGTGGTCGATAACACTTCATACTCTTAGCTAGAACTAGGGGTGGGGAAAAGATAAGAAGTAAATATACTGAAATCTCTGCAGAAGGCATCTTCAAAGATAATGTGTAAATATATGTTGATGGAGAGTCCACAACCAGGGAAACTGGGGAAACGCTCAGGAAAACACGGTTGGTGTGACTCTTGCAAAACTCTTGTCACCTATGATATTAGAATGGGTATCTCTAGAAATAGCAAGTTAACATGATCTGCAAAGTTTCTAGAGAAAGAATAACTAAAAGATAAAATTCTTGATCATTGATTTTTGTTTTGATTTTTTTTTTTATTGTTCATTTGGTTAGTTGGTTCTTCCTTTTGTCTTTCTTATGAGTTTACTTGGTGTCCGTTCTTTAGAACCTGATGAACTTCAGGGAAAGTCATGCCACAGAGAATCTACACTCGTAAAATGAAAACCAGTACCCTAACTAGGAAACATCCTCCAAGGAACTGTTATACCAAAACCCCTGCTTGCCAGCAGACAAATGCCTCTTTTATAGCTCTGAGGAGTCAACACACAGTGTATCTCATTTCTTCTTTTTGCAGATGAGCTGGAGTAGATGCTGCTGCTGCTGCTAAGTCACCTCAGTCGTGTCCGACTCTGTGTGACCCCACAGACGGCAGCCCATCAGGCTCCCTGTCCCTGGGATTCTCCAGGCAAGAACACTGGAGTGGGTAGATGAGATATGGCCCAAATGATAAATATAATGTAAGTGCCTAATTTATTTATTTATTATCATTTTTGGCCATACCATGCAGCATGCGAGATCTTACTTCCCTGATCAGGGATCAAACCCATGCCCCCTTCATTGGAAGTGCAAAGTCTTAACCACTGGACTGCCAGGGAAGTCTCTGTAAGTGCTAAATTTAAAGGGTAGATACGATCCCTCCCTTTCCTCCCTCCTTCTATCCAAAAATAAAGGGCCAGTGTCCAAGGACAGGAGGTAGCATGACTAATTCTGAGAATTTTGAGTTGAGATCAACAAATTAAGTTAAGTGCTTAACCAGTTACTATTTTGTTTTATTCTCTCATTGTTTTCTACCGCCTAAAACCATTTGTGATGAAAAGTTTAAAATCCTCATCAACTAGCACCACCAACTTCTTCAAGTATATTGATGTGATAGTCACATGGCATCTCAGACTTTGGAACTTTAATGTGATCTGGAAAACTCCAACTGTTTTTTATCTTTCTCCCATGGATGAGACTCTTTTGTGAGATAAATGTTCTGTCCTATTTTGGAGTAAATCCTCAAAGAGATACAAGTCTAAGAGTACATGGCATGGGGAAAAGTTTTCAAAATAGTACCCAGAAAATTAGCTTGTGTGTTGAAATGGCAAGGCTTATCTAGGTGGGATGTGTGGTGACAAAGGAGATCCAAGGGGGAGGGCATGTATGTATACATATAGCTGATTCACTTCATTGCTCAGCAGCAACTAACACACCATTGTAAACTAATTATACTGTAAATAAAAAATAAAATGAATGGCAAGGCTTACAAGACACAGTGCGCACATACTACTAGACTCCATGTCTTCCTAAGCTTTCCTGAGTGAGCCCTACCCTCCTTTCTTTCACTTCCTTGAATTCGCAGATAATTTCAACTTATCAACACATGTTTGTGCAAGGCTAACAAATTTTAACTATTGGATTTCAGTTCCAGATCTCTTACTTCAGATCTGATCATGGTTTTCTGTAGTTGGCACCAAAGGTTTTATTCCAGCCTCAATGTGCTCCCAAGATTCTCTGCCTTACTGGGTTCTATGGCAGCCAAGGATTCCAGTTCTCTGAGTTTCCCAGCCTTAAGGCTGCACTGTACGTTAAACTGTTGGTGTCACAGAATTAAACATTTTTACAAATATGACATATTCCAATCTGATAATACAAGCAGACACAGATATATAACCATAAGCAGTCTGCAATTTTAAAGATTCCCTTGCTTGATGCTTTGGATTAATTAGCTTAGATTCTATTTTTCTTTTGTAAAAACAAAAAATGCAGTGATTTCATTTAGGTTTCTAAAACTCTGCCACCATTTGTCACAGTTTGATGAAGACATTGAATTCCAAACTTGTGGAGTGTGTGTATATACGTGTGTGTATATGCACCATGTACTAAGTAGCAGATATAAACCTGCAGAATCTTAATTTTAATTTGAGACCAGCTTAATTTGTGGATGAACTAGCTATGACCACTGTGGTTTATGAAATAAATATTTGATTTTCTATTTGTCTTCACATGTTAGAAAAAAGAAATTAAAACTCTGTAAGTAAATATTCTGCAATGAATGGTTCCTCAGACTCATAGGCCGTAGGTATCTTGTGTTGTTCCAACAAAGTGTCATCACATAAGAATTAGTTGCTGTAAGTTACAAATATGGTCACAAACCCACCCCCCTCTTATCCATACCCTTTGCAATATGATTTCACAGCTCTTCCCATTAAGAGTTCTGCATCATTTATTTCTTCACCCTTTGAATCTACATTGGTCATGTGACTTGCTTATGGTAGATGAAATATTTGCCAACACGGTCCAAGCAGAGACTTGAAAAGAACTTGCCTATTGTGTTTCTTTCTCTATTTATGCTCTTGGACTCTTTCATTTAACATGTGGACAAGCCCAGGCTTTCTGGAAGATAAGGGACCACAGAACATGCCTCCAGTCATTCCACCTGTTCAAGACATGGCCATCAGCAACCAACCAACCCCAGCCAGCTCACTTGCTAGCAGCAGATGCATGAATGAGCCCAGCCAAGATCAGCTGAGCCCCTTCTAGTCCAGAAGAACAGCTTAGTCACACCCAGTTCACAGCACCAGCCACAACATCAGGCTAAAGAATCGGTTATTGTGTAAAGCCATGAAATTTTGAGGAAGTTTGTTACACAGCAAAGGTTAACAGGAACTGTTTTCTTAGCCTGTTTTGTTTGACTTCAAAAGACAGATAAAACGAAGACACTCTTAGAATTCTCCTACCTCAAATTTTTCAGGTGCCAGCTTGATTTTAGAAAGTAGCATTTCAGGAAAAACATGCTCTGCTCCAAATGTACCACTTAGGGAGAACATTTCAAATCTCGTCAGAGCAGTTTCTACTGGCTGTCCACACGTTGCCAAATTAGTAGATCCGCATTTCAGCATTGTGCATACCTGTGTAGAAGAGATGCATATGAAACTCCAACACCTTGAATCTAAGTTACTTGTAGAACTGTTGACTCAGTTTATAGCAAAGAAAATATTTTCTCCATTTGCTAAAGGGATTTGGATCATATAATTACTTGATTTATTGGAAATGGCAAATGATTAAGAGCCAACCCACACATTCAGGGCAACCAGTGGGTTGAAAGAAAGAAGCCAGTTTTCATAATAGGAGAGAACAAATCTGACTCCATATTGGATCTGGTCCTTTTACTTTAACCTTTGTATTCTAGTGCTTTTGCTACAAGTTAATCACTGAATGGAGACGGGTGCGCTCAGTTGCTCAGTCATGTCCAACTCTTTGCAACTCCTTGGACTGTAGCCTGCCAGGCTTTTCTGTCCATGGAATTTTCCAGGCAAGATTACTGAAGTGGGTTGCCAGTTCCTCCTCCACGGGATCTTCCTGAGTCTCTGACGTCTCCTGCATTAGCAGGTGGATACTTTACCACTGTGTCACCTGGAAGCCTCAATGGAGGTTGCCTATAAGCTTAAATTATACATAATGAACTGTCTCTGAGAATCGTGCCTTTCATGTAATAAGCTAAAATACCTCTGTTTAGCTCATAGGGAATATCTAGACTAGGTCCACCTATGAATGACTACAAGAAGAAAAATTTTACATTTCCCTTCCAGAGTCTGACTGGAACCAGGACTTTACCTTTTTCCCTTTCAGTATAAAAGAAGCCTGACTTCTACCTCAGGAAAGACGGTTCTTTGGGACACTAGTCCACCACCTCAGTCTGCTGGCTTTCCAAATAAGGTCACTGTTCCTTGCCACAACAACTCATACCTCAATTTATTGGTCTGTCCCACAGTGAGCAGTACAAGCTTGAATTTGGTATCAGATATAAACCATTCATCTGGCATGTCAGATGATGGCATTTGGTCCAAGAAAGTGGAACTCTTTGGGCAACAGAAGTACTAAAGTCAAAAGAATGATTAGAATTTTGACCATCTCTCTCTCTTTTTTTTCATATCTGTTTCCTTAGAAGAAAGCAATGAGGAACAGAGTGTAATAATAAAATGCAAATGCGTAGCCAACACTATACAAAAACCTTGCACTTTAAAAATTTGTCATTGGAAGGGCAGGAAATGACTAGGACCTATGGTTACAAGAGCAGTTAAAATAAAAATGATATCCCTACTTATTGTTAGTTTTAAAAGTTAAAATAAGACTTTATATTTAGATATGTCAGCACAATTACTTAAGGAAGCCACTTAAATATGTAAGCTAGTTCATTAGTCAATTAGAAAATCAGGTTAATATTTTTTTAATGTGTTCAAAGCAAGCAATCAGATGATACTTAGCTCCCCTGCAAATATCATAGGATTAATCCCAAAGCCTGTGTGTGTGTGTGACACTGGCAATGCATGGAGTCAAGCCACAAAAAAGCACTGGATTCCCTGGGACAAATACGAAAAGTTAACCCTGGAATTTACTCACACCCAAACACTCGTCTTCACTTGAGTTGAGATTACCTGCCAATATTCTCTTCTCCTTTGCCCATGAAGTCCTGCAAAAGCTCCTAGAACATACACTTCACTCCCCTCCTGTCCTAACATCCTGTAGCTTAGATGACAGCAGAACTCTTTTTGACACACAGTAAGGTTTCCTGCACTTTCAGAGAGCTTTGTGAAGTTGAACTCATCGCGGGAAATAAATCCCCTGAAGGAATTTTTAGCTCCTGGAAAGGGTGTGATGGAGGTGGCGTAGGCACTCCAATTCATGGCTGGTGGGTAGGTCGGGGAGTTCCGAGGATGGGAATCCACCTCTGCAAAGAGAATCTTTCCTGACTCTGTTTCCATATCATGATGGTAGACTTTGGGAGAATGTGGTGCATAGATACCACTGCCTGTGAATGAAAGACAAGTCTTTTAAAAACAAACAAACAAACCCAACACCCCCAGTTTCCCCATCAGAACTGAGCATATGGTCATGTCACAAGATTAGTCACGAGACGGCACAAGGCATTGAACACCCAGGTACTTCTTCTATTCTCCACTGGAGGAGATTAAAAATTGAATGATCAGTGGTCTCATTCAATAAACTTTGAACATAATTTATTACCATAACAGAAAATTAAGCCAAATATTAAAACCACTGAATCATTGAAGTTTCTGAGATGTGCATGCTAAGTCACTACAGTCGTGTCTGATCCTCTGTGATCCTATGGGCTATAGGCCACCAGGCTCCTCTGTCCATGGGGTTCTCTGGGCAAGAATACTGCAATGGGTTGCCATTTCCTCCTCCAGAGGATCTCCCCAATCCAGGGATAGAACTGGCATCTCCTATGTCTCCTGCATTGGCAGGTGGGTTCTTTGCCACTAGCCCTTTGAGACGTAGGGAAGGTGACATAAAAGAACAGTCCCTCCTGCTCTCCATTGTGGTGGTTTTCAAATATGTCCAAAAATTCTTCACTATTCCTCTCTCCAATGTCTGGATCTAATTTGTTTTACCTTGAGTGTGGGCTTGACTTAGTGACATACTCCTAATGAATATAATGAGGTAGAAATAATGGCTTGTGACAAGTCATACAAAGCTGTGCAGGGTTCCCCTATCTCTCTCCACCTTTCTCTCATTACTAGCTCTGGAGAAAGTCAACTGCTATATCATGAGGATACATCACACAGCCCTATGGAGAGGCCCATTGACAAGAAATGAAAGTCTCCTGTCAACAGCTATTGAGAAAGAGAGGAACTCTACCAAGAGCCATACGAGTGAGCCATCCTGAACACAGACCTGCCAGCTCCAGTCAAGTCTTCAAGTGACTCTTAGCCCAGGCAAAGGCTTGATGTAACCCGAAGAGATGGCCTGAGCCAGGACCACCCAAGCTACTCCCAAGTTCCTGACCAGCACAAACTGTGAGATAGCAGATGTTTGTGGTTTTACGCCACTTCCGCTTTTTACTTTTTGAGTAATTTATCACACAGCAACACATCAATAACACACTCCGCTGCCTTCACCAGTTTTAGAGCACATCTTGTTCAGTTTCCTGCTTCACTACATACTTCTACTGCTGGGTAGTGACTTAGGTCCTGGCTCACTCTGTGAGACGCCATGGACTGTAGCCCCCCAGGCCCTCTGTCCATGGAATTCTCCAGGCAAGAGTACTGGAGTGGGTTGCTATGCCCTCTTCCAGGGGATCTTCCCAACCCAGGGATCGAACCCAGGTCTCTGCATTGCAGGGAGATTACCACTGAACTACCAGGGAAGCTCTTGTTACCTACTAGCTGATGCCTTTGGCAGGTTACTTGCATTTTTGTGTGTCTCAGTTTTCTAATCCACAAAACCAGACTGATAATCCTCAGCCCACACATAAAGTTGTGAGGATAAATGAAATAATACACATAAAAGTCTTAACACAGACATAGCTATTATATGTAGCTGTTATTATAACAGTAGCTCTTTTCTTCTTCTTTTTTTTTTTTGTGAACAGATACAAGCTTAGTGAGAAATCCCAACAAAGAACTAAAAAAAATTACAACAGGTCATATCCAAAGCATGAGTTTCTCTCCATTTAGAAATATAATCTGCAAACCTAATCTAGTCATGGATTACCTGTCATTTTTAGGTTGACGTTATGTATGTTTGCTGCAAGAAGATTAACTCTCATTCCCATTGCCCATGCTGAATGAAATTCAATAGCTGTCAAAAGGGGCAAAACGTTCATCCAAGCTGTGGGAAACAATATGGTGTCCACGTGGAAATCTTTCACCAGGGTAACAGCAGGATCATGGAAGAGAATATCAAAGCACGTGAAAATGCCAAACTTTCCAAAGGTGGTATTGAAAGTCACCAACTCCGGCTTTTTGGGGACATCAAACTGAAGCTCACGGTAGAGGTGGTACTGTAATAAACACCCAGGATAAAACCAGAAAAGCCTTGTTTACTGAAGAGATGACACATGAAGACCTTCCAAGTTAGTAATTACCTGTTCAACAGTGGGAAATCTATAGAAGGTGAATGCCACTGGTGATTGGAAGCTAACTTTCAAAGAAAAATAAGGAGAAATATAGTTTCTCTCTGTCTCTCTGTGTCTCTCTCTGTCTCTGTCTCTCTTGCTCTCCTTTTCTTTCTCTCTCTCCCTCCTCTTTTCTCTCCTTACCTGCCTCCCTCTCTCAATTAGGGCCAAATATCTCCCCATGAATTGCAAACACTATGTGCTTCTTGAAAGATGAAGATTTACATCATTTTTCTTTGAGTCCCTGGTACCTAAAAATACAATTGTCATTGTTACTTAGTTGTTGAGATGTGTCCAGTTCTTTGTGACCCCATGGACTATAGCCCGCCAGGCTCCTCTGTCCATAGGATTTCCCAGAAAAGAATACTGGAGTTGGTTGTCATTTCCTTCTCCAGGGGATCTTCCTGACCCAGGGATTGAACCCGAGTCTCCTGCATTGGCAGGTGGATTCTTTACCACTGAGTCACCGGAGAAGAAGAAATATAATAGATACACAATAAATATCTGTTAAGCAGGTGAGGGAGGCCCCATCCCTGTTTGCCATGTCCCTTCCAAAGTAATCTCAGGGACTGTTATCCAGTTTTGAAAATTGTTGTTAAACACAAATGTTTTATTTCATTCTGATTCCTTCCAAGTAAGGTTGAGAAACAAATCTAGTCTAATTTGCTAATCAGGGTCAATAGCTTAATAAAATGATTTGCAGAGTAGGAAAAGTTGAGAGTTAGAAGCAAGACTATTAAAACTCCTCTCAAAGTTTATTTTCTATCTAAAAAATTTTTAATTGAAATTTACTAGCATTTTAAGAATCAATCGACCAAAGTACGCTTATCAGATCCATATGTCAGAGGACATCGGTCACGAACTGTTCTGAGGTGCCCTGCTGGGAGAGTGGGAGCTTCTCACTTTAGGATGACTCAGTCCTCACTAGCTGCCCACATCCTGTACACTGCGCCATCCTGCCACTTACTGGGTCTGGTTAACTGGATTGATCAACTATGTTATCAGTTTAACTAGGTCAACACTTACAGAATAGAAGAGTAACTGCAAAAATAGCCTTTAAAATGATACTAACGATGCAAACACGGTCTCCAAAATAACAAAAATGACATTTCTATTCCTAATGTGAGACACATTTTTGAGAACATGAAAGTTTAATTACATTTGAAAACAAGTTGACAGACCCACAAGATTACATAGAAAACTTTTGGAAAGTTTTGGGTCTTATTTATAAATGCACCAATAAATGCATAAATAAATATAAACATATTTTTAAGGACTTGTGTTAAATTCTTTTTCATAGAGGTATATGATCAAAAACATTTGAAAATCTCTGATGCTATATCTTTCTTCTTGACTAAAATTTATTTTTTACCTAGGACTTCCAGGAGATAATTTCTCCACTCAGAAGATTCTGAGGTTCCAATATAAGATGATTAGAAAACAGAATATGGGACAGGAAAAGGGACATTCACACGGACCTGCACACCCCATATTCATGTAAAAGTTCAGTCTCTCTCCCTGCCCAATTTGGTATAAAATTATGGCTTTAGGTTATTTTATTCCTTCAGGTTATTTTACTCAGATTTTAAAGTAAATATTTTATAATTTGACCTTAAATCAATAAAAGGATAATTAAATCAACTGGTATAGAAACTAAAAAAGAAAGATCATTTTTGTAACTTGATAGAAAACAAAGAAATTGCCTTCTATGAAACTGATTCATACAATATGAAAACATCTTTTATCATTTTAGTGTTAAATGGCATCCAGGTCAGAAAGCAACAGTTAGAACTGGACATGGAACAACAGACTGCTTTCAAATAGGAAAAGGAGTACGTCAAGGCTGTGTATTGTCACCCTGCTTATTTAACTTATATGCAGAGTACATCATGAGAAATGCTGGGCTGGAAGAAGCACAAGCTGGAATCAAGGTTGCCAGGGGAAATATTAATAACTTCAGATATGCAGATGACACCACCCTTATGGCAGAAAGTGAAGAAGAACTAAAGAACTTCTTGATGAAAATGAAAGAGGAGAGTGAAAAAGTTGGCTTAAAGCTCAACAATCAGAAAACTAAGATCATGGCATCTGGTCCCATCACTTCATGGCAAATAGATGGGGAAACAGTGGTTGACTTTTTTGGGGGGGGCTCCAAAATCACTGCAGATGGTGACTGCGGCTATGAAACTAAAAGATGCTTACTCCTTGGAAGAAAAGTTGTGACCAACCTAGACAGCATATTAAAAAGCAGAGACATTACTTTGCCAACAAAGGTCTGCCTAGTCAAGGCTATGGTTTTTTCAGTAGTGATGTATGGATGTGAGAGTTGGACTATAAAGAAAGCTGAGTGCTGAAGAATTGATGTTTTTGAACTATGGTGTTGGAGAAGACTCTTGAGAGTCCCTTGGACTGCAAAGAGATCCAACCAGTCAATCCTAAAGGGAATCAGTCCTGAATATTCATTGGAAGGACTGATGTTGAAGCTAAATTCTAATATTTTGACCACCTGATGTGAACTGACTCATTTGAAAAGACCCTGATGCTGGGAAAGATTGAGGGCAGGAGGAGAAGGGGACGACAGAGGATAAGATGGTTGGATGACATCACCAACTCAATGGACATGAGTTTGAGTAAACTCTGGGAGTTGGTGATAGACAGGGAGGCCTGGTGTGCTGCAGTCCATGGGTTCGCAAAGAGTCGGACATGACTGAGCGACTGAGCTGAACTGATTGGTATCCAGATGACAGTCATCTCAGTATCCTTTGTATCAATATTAAAATTATTTGTTTTATATATGCAAAAACTTTATCTTGATCCTGGACTTACAAAACCTTTCTTACAGATCTCAGTCTACAATTTAATCCACATTTCTAAAATGTCTTTTTTTTTATTGCTCTCTTTTAAAAAATATTGGTAACATTGTATTGACAAACCTAGATGAAAAACCTTGACAATGTATTAAAAAGCAGAGACATTACTTTGCTGACAAAGGTCCATCTAGTCAAAGCTATGGTTTTTCCAGCAGTCATGTATGGATGTGAGAGGTGGACCATAAAGAAGGCTGAGTGCTGAAGAATTGATGCTTTTGAACTGTGGTGCTGGAGAAGACTTGAGAGTCCCTTGGATACCAAGGAGACCAAACACATCAATCCTAAAGAAAATCAACCCTGAATATTCATTGGAAGTACTGATGCTGAAACTGAAGCTCCAATACTTTGCCATCTGATGTGAAGAGACAAGTCATTGGAAAAGGCCCTGATGCTGGCAAAGCTTGAAGGCAAAAGGAGAAGAGGGTGGCAGAGGATGAGATGGTTAGATAGCACCACCGACTCAATGGACATGAATTTGAACAAATTCCAAGGACTAGTGAAGGACAGAGAAGCCTGGCAAGCTGCAGTCTGTGGGGTTGCAAAGAGTCAGACATGACTTAGTGATTGAACAACAACAATAAAACATCGTATTATAAGGAAATGAAGCTCTATCTCCTAAACACAGAATGCACCCTTCTCAAAGGAGGCTCCATTTTACACACTCACTCCCTCTTACCTTATGGTAACGTGCCACCAGCTTTCCCTTTTTATCATACACCACGTTGGTGTTGTATTGATAATGGCCATTAGAAGGACACATGGTATGACTGGAATTACATGGTTTTTTGTCACCCATATTTGCCACGACATAGATAGAGTTGTTCTTGGCCAGGCAGCTGAGTCTTGCTTGTACTGGTGTATGACCAAATCTAAATCAAATTTTAATTAAGACATTTCAATGTCAAAGAGAGAAAGGCCAATACTGTATGATATCACTCATACATGGAATTTTTAAAAGTCAAACTTGTAGAAACAGAAAACAGAATGGTGGATATCAGAAGTTGGATTGTGGGAAATTGGGGACATGTAGTTTAAGGGAACAAACTTGTAACTTATAGATAAATCCCAGAGACTGAATGCATAACATAATGCCTATATTCATATATATGCATGTATGATAAACTTTAAAGTCACTATGAAACTAGGTCTGAATTTTCTCACATACACACAAAAAATACTAATTATGTGACATTATAGAGATCATATTTAGAAGTCACAAGTTATACTTGGTGAAGTTTTTCCACATTGTATCTATTACTCCAGCAATTCATTATTCACTCTCCTGTAGCAACAGTTTTCATCTCTTCAAGAGATCACTCCATCAACACACACATATACACTAGTACCTCTCATCTGTGGAAAAAAAATAAAATAGAAACCTCTCTTGACCCGCACATGCCCTTCTAATTTATTTTTTCCTTAGGTCCCTAGGTTCATAGGTCCCTCTTAAAATAAAACTCCCTGAAATAGCTGGCCCTCTTTCTGGATCAGCCCATCTTCTCCCATTCTCTTTGGAAGTGCTCAGATCAGGCTTCATTGCTCTCGTCCCACCTGACAACCCCTACTAATGCAAGTGATGACAGCTGCATCTTACCTTATCTTGTACCACTTCTGCATCAGCTGATGGAGTTACACCCCGCTCCTAGAAACACTTCACCCCACCTATTGGACCCCACTCTCTCATCCTCCTACTCACTGGCGGCTTTTCTCCATCTCCTTTTCTGGTTCCTCCTCTTCTGCCCTGAGTCTAAACATTGAAGTTTCCTGTGGCTCAAGCAATAGATTGCTTCTCTTCTCTAACTCATTCCATAGGTGAACCCATCTTGGTGTTAAATATTGTCTCTCTATTAGAGATACGTTTCTCTTCTTTTTCAAAGGGAATTTTATTCTTTTATTATTTTCAACAATAATCCAGCTCCTAAAGTCTTGAATTTAAGATGTATTGGGGAGTTTGGTTCTTGGTAGTTTGGGAATAGTTAAATGAGCTCTCTTTCTGGGTCATGGTGGCAAGGGTGTCTCAGTTTGTTAGTGGTGCAATCCAAAGTTACATGTGTTATTCCGGTGGTGGAATGCCACTGGAACCCCCTGGAAATGGTAGCACTGTTAGCCACTGGTCCAAGGCCAGCTGTGAGGGCCATGACCTTTGGACTCTGGAGCTTCCAAGACAATTAAGTGACAAACAGCAGAATAAAAAAGAAGGGACATGATCCTTCCATTTGTGCCTTTCTTTTTAGCTGTGACTCTGTGCCCTTACGTAAAGGTTATGCAAAATAGTCTATAATTCTTATCTTTGGATTTGAAATGAGTGTAAAAAGGAATGTTTGCATGGCTTATTGAAAAATCTGACTACTGTGTCTTTACAATGAGCAGAATAACTTTATATGATGAAAGTAATGTTTTTGTTCTTACTGTAATTTTTCAAAGTTTGTACATTATTAAGGACATAAAAAATGTACTTGACAGGTCTCTTGTTTTACCCAGAATAAAGAATATGCAGACCTGTGGTTACATCTGTGAATAGATCATTCTTTGAGACAGTTCTTCCCCCTCTGAGGACCAAGACTTTTGCTCTTTAACATTACTGACCAGTGTGGAGTTAGCGTACCTTGGTGCGTGCTCAGATGGTCAGCTGTGTCTGACTCTCAGTGACCCCATAGACTGTAGCCTGACAGGCTGCTCTATCTCTGGGGCTCTTCAGGCAAGAGTACTGGGGTGGGGAGCTGTTTTCTCCTCCAGGGGATCTTCCCAGTTCAGGGATCCAACCCATGTCTTTTACGTCTCCTGCATTGGCAGGCAGATTCTTTACCACTAGTGCCACCTGGGAAGCCCAGCATAGCTTTATAGATAAGTTGTTAATATTACTTGAGAATAGTCACACTAAATATGAAAGGAATAGAGTGAGAGCCATGTCAGGATATCTTTTTTAAACTAAGTATGATTATCAATATTTAAAAATGCAACTACTATTCTTGTGTAGATGATAGATATTGTTTTATTTCCTAAAGCTTAATAGATTTGAATATGGACTTTATTTGTAGAAAGCAAATAGGAGGAAATCTATAAAAGCATGTCTCAAAATAATTATCTATTTATCCATCCTATAAACTACATTATGACATGTGTTTCATTGAGAGCAATGTGATTTAAAAAAAAATGAGATTACGGGGGACCCAGATTTACTTAGATATTTATAGATGGTTCCTGATTTGAACTGCCACTGGCAAAGTACATTCATGACCTCACCAATAAGAATCTGATAAGATTCACTTTTAATTTTTAAAGCACAATTAAGCATTCTGGAGCTTGCATTTAACAGGCAGTTTAAATTCAAACCCCCAGATGACTCTTTCTCATGACTGCATTTCTGCTTCCTTACTGTAGATCTCTAGACATTTGCTGGTTACACGGGTGAATGAGTGAATGAATAAATGAAAAGGAATGGATTGATAAGTACTCTTATCCATGTTAGTAAATCTGATTTGAAAATGTTTTTCTCCCTGATTTTCTACCTCCAACCCTGACCTTGTATTTCATGCCAGACTCAAATATATATCCACCAGGGTTACATCTCCACTTGGATGTCTATTAAGTTACAGCTCAAACTTCAGATGCACAAAATTGATTTCCTAAGTTCTATCCCAGACTTGCTATTCCTTCATTGCTCCTGTAACCGACCAGGACCCTAGGGGACCTAACCAGGACAGCCTCCCCCACCCCACCCCCACCCTGCCCTGTCTTCTACCTGTCTCTTTTTTGTAGAAAAACTTTAGTCTCCCAGGCCTCCTCTGAGTCACAGAAATTTAGCTCAAGAATTAATGACTGGAAGAATGTAAAGACATAGGAACAAAAAAATAGCAGTTGGGCCAGGAGGCCTGGTAACAATTTAAACAATAGATCAACCATACAGGAGCACAGAATGTTAGGTCTTTCCCTGAGGACATAAAAATCAGTGTCTGACACACACTCCTAGTTGTTTTGCAGACACTAAAACCCTCACCAGATGGAAAAAGCTAAGTGCATGAAGGCCATGAGCATGTAGCCCCCAATCTGGCTGGAATCTGAGGATTGATGATGTTAACCCCTGTGATATCACCCTATTACCTCTCCATCAGCTAATCAGAGAATTGTGCATGAGCTGATCACACACCCTGCAACTCTCTTCCGTACCTTGCCTTTAAAAACCCTTCCCTAAAGACCCAGAGGGATGGGATGGAGAGGGAGGCGGGAGGGGGGATCGGGAAGGGGAACACATGTAAATCCATGGCTGATTCATGTCAATAAATATTATTTAAAAAATAAATAAATAAAAAAATAAAAACCCTTCCCTAAAATCCATCGGGGGTTTGGTTCTTTTGAGCACTAGCCACTGGTACTCCTGGCTTGACACTGAACTTTCCTTCACCACGACCTTGTATCAGTAGATTTTCCAATGCCTGGACAAGAGAAACCAAACTTGGTTCACAAACACTCCCTATGTCCCTAAATGGCAAGTTTGTGTCTCCCACTGCTTAGGCCAAATATTTGGGAGTCACTCTTTTGTTTGTTTGTTTGGAGAATTTTGTTTTGTCTGTAAGACATGGCTTGTGGGATCTTAGTTCCCTGACCAGGGATTGAACCTAGCCCCCTAAAGCAGAAGTCCGTAGTCCTAACCATTAGCAGTGATCTTTTGATGTTGGACTACTTTGTTTACTTTTATTTGTTTGGTTTTTTCTTGGAGGTGGGAGGTGTTGCAGAAACCCCTATATATCTTGGTTCCTCCCTTACCTCTTTGGAACAGTCCAAAGAAGTATCTGAGCGGCCGAATCCCAGGCTTAAGGCCTTGGTAAAGTCCCAAATAAAACATAATTGTCAAATTTTAGATTTTATTTGTTTTTTCAGTCAACACCCCTATTATTATCTCTAAATGACATTCTATATGATAAATGAGTTTGTTTACATCTATCTTCCCCCACAAGAATACTCATGAGCCAAGGGGAGGGCAAAGACTTTGCTTTAATAAGTGCTATATCCCCTATTCTTAAAATAGTATCTGGTACATAGCAGGTGCTCAATAAGTAATCATTAAATGAATTAAATGTGACTACACTGGATGACAACGCAAAACCATTTTCTTTCAAAATTTCTTTTTTGTAGCATAGAGCTATGAACGAAGTATTTACTAACCACCTGGAATAGACCTGTCCTCCAGGCTTCACCATGTGGCCCTAGTGGTAAGAACAAGCCTGCCAATGTAAGAGATGTGGGTTCGATCAGGAAGATCACCTGGAGGAGGGCATGGCAAACCACTCCAGTATTCTTGCCTGGAGAATCCCATGGACAGAGGAGGTTGGCTAATGTCCACGGGGTCAGAAAGAGTTGGATACAACTGAGGCAACTTAGCATGCCAAGCTTCACCAGTTTTCATAGCTACTGTGATCTCTGACTAGCCCATAAATTGGCCAAATATATATATATTTTTAACTAAGGAATCCATCTTGCAATCCTACTGTGAGATGAAAAACAAATGGGTTGTCCTCTTCTCAAAACTTCTAGGCAGAAAGGCTGTCCAGCTGTTGTCCCTTTTCTTCCACAGCAAAGACCATGGGGAGCATCAGCTCAGAACAAGAAGAACAGGAAAGTGGGGCTGCCGACTCTCATGGAAACTTATATTCTGCTCGTTGTGTGGCTAAGCTCTTAGAGCTGAGGAAAGCCATTTTCTGATAACCCTTACATAAGCTTCAGACTTTACAGTAGTGCCTCAAAAAGCATGGTATCCATAATCCCCAGCAAAAGCATGGCAGAGGAATGTTTAATAAGTTTAATTTGAGGTACCAGAGTGAAAAAAAGTATAAAAGGGTATGAGATGGTGAGAGGATCTGAGAGTTGAGAAAGAATGAGTATGAAGTATAGAAGTGTCCAACCTGTACCTCAATAATTCAAGCCTTAGTAGGTAGTAGAAGTTATATATTAATATACATATATAGTAAATATTTTATATTGGAAAGTTTCTAAATTAATTTTTCCCAGAAAAATTAGCTTTACGAGCCTAGGAAACTGCAAAATGTCAAAGCATAAAGTCTTATGATTTAGATCTTTCTGCATGGGAAACAGATTCTAGAGTAGAGAGACAATGAAACTGAAGTCTGATACCATCAACAGAGACCTTGGAATATTTTCCGAACACAACCCACTGTCCACTTCAGAAAGTAATTTATTATTTATTTTCATGAGATTGCCTTCCCCTTAGTTTCTAATCCCAATGATAAATATCTTATTTATATATTTCTCCAAATTTGATAAGCATATTAGATTACAAATAATTATTAAATGGTATCTAAGTACAATTTTAAAAAATCAAATGAATGTCTACATATATATAAAACTTATACACATATATGAACAGTTAGGATTTATCATTTTCTGTAGTAAGCATATACATTTTAGAGAATCACAGTACTTTGTACAAACAACTATGACTGGGACTTCCCTCACGGTCCAGTGATTAAGAATTCGCCTTCCAGTGTAGGGGAGGCAGGTTCTATCACTGGTCAGGGATCTAAGGAAATAAGACTCCACATGCTGTGGGGCAATGAAGCCCAGGCGTCACAACTGGAGAAGTCTGCATACCACAGCAAAGACCCAGCATGGCCTAAATAAATAAGTAAATTTTTTTAAAAAAATGGGATACTTCAAATACCTGCGGGGGTCTTGACATGGAATCCAGTTCACCTGAGGATCTGGGATATTCTCCAGATAAGGGAAAATGGTTTCCCTGGTAAATTTCCATCCATAAAGTGCATCTTCTGGGGTCACAATGATCTGAGCACCCTGCTCAAAACAAGTTAAATCAGAATTATTTCTCTATGTATGTAGACAATTCAACACTCCAGTTTTCATCAGCTCTCATGCCTGTCTTACGAATTATGATTTGCAGAAATAAAAGAATACCTGCTCAGCTGCCTGCTTAATTGCCTTCTCCAGAATATCTATGTTCTTGTTCATGAGGAGCAAGGCCTCATCCGGAGAAACAGGTGTTTTTGTATCGTTTGGCAGTATGACAGCATGTTCATACACTGCAGCTTTAAAAGTATCCAGAGCACTGACATGCAGAATTATTAGGGCAAACACTGCCACGGAGGTTTGTAAAGAGGAAGTGATCATGGCTAAGGGATCCTGAGTTCTGCAAGTGAAAGTAACATTCATGCAGTATTTATAGAGGAAGCAACATTTATGTAACATGTGACTGCCAGTTCTTATTTTATAATCTCATGAATATTATGTCTCATCATTTCGGAGGAAACAAATTTCAGTTCCATGAATACAATCAAAAAGTATTACAAGGACTGTACAACATGTACTGTTGATAAAGTGTAATGACAAATTTCAAAAGAAGAATTCAAATATAACACAATTGTACCCTTTTATTAATAGAAAGAAAATAGTTTCCTAAATTAACTCTCATATGAAAACTATGATACAATAAATTTCATTTTTAAAAATTACAAAAACCAGATAATAATTTTCTTTTTCTGTTCTGTTGAAGGATCTACTTTGTGTTTATTTTCAGAAGAGGAGAAAACTTTTAAAATATTTACTACTAGGAGAATGCACTACAGGGCGATTTTGGGGGCAGAATTCACCCAGATCAACACTCTGACTTACTTATTAAAGACTCTGAATGTGCACTCCACAAAAACAAGATTTCGTGTCTGGTTTGCTCATTGTTGCAACCTTAGTGCCCAAAGCACTGATCCTCCATGAGCTGCTCCCTGGTGTTTGGCCAGCGGAGAAACCAAGAACCTCTCCTTAGGGAGCTAAGCCTCCTTCCTCCCCCACTCATTTCCTTCCTTCCTTTCTCTCTTTGGAGATAGATGCAAGGGAAGGGGAAGTATCTCACTTGGGCTAGTGACTACAAAGATCATCTCTGTTGTAAACTCAGATAAGATGGAAATTTCATTTGTTTAGGGGCAAATGACCACAAAAATGAGCTTCACATACACATACATTATGTGACCTCCTGAAAGAAGTGAAAGTATCAGTCGCTCAGTTGTGTCCGACTCTTCGCAACCCATGGACTGTAGCCCACCGGGCTCCTCTGTCCATGGGATTCTCCAGGCAAGAGTACTGGAGTGGGTCCCCATTTCCTTCTCCAGGGGTCTTCCTGACCCAGAGATTGAATCCAGGTATCCTGCATTGCAGGGTCTTTACCATCTGAGCTACCAGGGAAGCTGGTCCTTCCTAGGACATCCATACTCTCCCTTCTCCAGTCCAATTCGATCACACAAGCACTTAGTGCATTTTGTTTATTTGTCTGTTTGATTTTGTTTTTTAATCTGAGTCTTTCTTTCAAATACTTTTAAAACAGCATAAAAGAGTAGAAACAAATAAACACAATTCTTGATATAGGTGAGGTCTAAAGGTTATAAACCAGGTCTGCTCAAATGTTCTGCATTGAATAGAAATTTTTAGTAAAGAAATAACTTATTACCTATATAGAATAGAAAACTGAAAATAATTTTTTAGAAAAATGTTCAAGTCTTTTAGTGGATAATGTGAAGAGATTTTTTATCATCTATTTTCATACAGTAAAACATGAATGCCTTTAGAGTCTAGAGAGTGTGTAACACAAACAACACTTTATAGGACAGGAATTGGAGGCATAGAGAGACAGAGTGATTTAACAGTGAGGTGTTTCTCACTGTTTATTCCAGAATCTTTTCCTGATACCTAAGACATCATGCGTGCGTCTGTACTCTGGTTTAACGTCTGTATCCAGGTGTCTGAATATTCAGTTGCATCTTTTAAGGAGTCCTATTCAAAATGACCATCTTAGGAAGCTCACAGGTAAATCTAAATATGAATAAATACTTGATGCAGCTGTTGGAAATAGCATGTACAGTCATTGATGGTATTTCCTCATAGGTAGCAAGGATGACGCATCAAAAATAAGGAAGCAAAACAGAAAAACTAGGCCCTTCTTTTAAAATTGTTTTCTCTTGATACTATATATAAAAAAAAAAATGTGTAGTTGAGGCCTTTAAGCTCTTCCATTTCTACCAGTATAATTGGGGTCATGATCTGCTTCCTTGTCATTTAATCTCACCAACTGGTAATACTTCATTATCTCTTTTGCTTAGTAGTATTTAGGTAAGCTGGTGAAAATACACAAACAATCTTTACTTTTGGAGGGTAGGAACAGAAACATCCTTATCTTTCTTTCGAATCTCAGTGTCTCCAAATTTCCTGGATGTTTTTCTCTCTTTGTCGCTATACACAAAAGATATAGTGTTTTGTTTACTAGAGGTTTTTGGCTGGAGGGCAAAAGGGGAAATGGTTTCTGATGCAAAGTCAAGGTGATGAAGTTTCCTTTTTTCTCTGTAGCATTTCAAAATTGTCTCATAAAAATTGAGAATTTGAATAACAAAATATTGGAAGAGTCAGAAACTAGTAAATGAAACAGCAATTTAAATATGGACAGATCTATAAAACATAAGAAAAAGAGAATGAGTTTTACAAACATTTGCCATAGAATAACTGATATACTTTTAAATCTTCACCAAATTCAGGACAGAGAACTTTAAGAGTTTGCATTTTCATGTTCATAAACGTGATTGTTTAAGTAAGGCTGAATTAACTTTTTCAGTTTATAACTCAGCTATAAAATAGTGTTACTTAGCCACAGGAAAGATTGAATAATTATAATTTATTGCTAATAAGATCTATTTCCTAATTTACCAGTTTTGATTAATGTAATTCATTACGAGGGTGAAAAGTTCCAATGAATTCAAAGTTTTGAATGAAGAGTCAGAATAAAAACTTGACAAGAGTTCAAATATTTGTTTCTAACTGGGATCTGATCATCTCAAAAACAGCATTCAACTGAACTTGGTTTTCTGGCTCTAATAAGTACCACACAGCTTGTGAGATCTTAGTTCCCCAACCAGAGATTGAACCCAGACTCACTGCAGCGAAAGCACCAATTCTTAACCACGCAACCACCAGGGAATTCCCTAGAAATGTAGTTTCTGTTTTGTTTTCCACTTCTCTGAACCTCTATTTCTCATCTAAAAGTTCAGGTAATCACACGTGCTCTATCATTTTCACAGAGTTGTCCTGAGAGTCAGAGACACATGACAGTTATCTGCAAGATTATGATGGAATGACAGTAGTTAACAAAAGGGGGCAGACAATTTATGCTAGGTCCACAGAACCACTATTTTTCAATTGAACAGATCTTGTCCATTTGGGGCTCTGTGCTGAGGATGAAGTCAGGAACATAGCACCTGGGCACCAGCTCCTGGCGCATGCACAGCTGGGCCTGGCAGACACACATCCATGCGGCAGCGACAGTGCAATAAGAATGCCAAGGCCTCAGAAAGGCAAGGAGTGGCTCGTGGCTCCTGGCTCTGACTCAAGCCTCAGCACTTCCTGGTTTCCAAGGTTGAAATAACATTAACAAAGACTCAGAAATAGCATGTACAGTCATTGATGGCATTTCCTCATAGGTAGCAAGGGTGACATCGTAAACAAAACAGAAAAACCAGATCCTTGATGGGATGGTGAGGGAGGCGGGAGGGGGGACCGGGATGGGGAACACATGTAAATCCATGGCTGATTCATGTCAATGTAGGGCAAAAACCACTACAATATTGTAAAGTAATTAGCCTCCAACAAATAAGAATAAAAATAAAAATAAGAAAAAAGAAAATTGCTTTCTTTTGATACTATATACCAAAAAAAAAAAAAAAAAGATAACACTGTACCCCCAAAAAAGTACTTAGTGGTAAAGGACAATGTTTTGTCCCCACTGGGGTTGTGCTTTGGTCTTCAGCATGCCTCTCTGACTCAGTCTCTGAGAAAGAAAATGCTTCTTGAGCCAAATCAGCTTGAACTTGAGCAGAACCAGCCTGAACTTGAACCACGTTTTGGAGTCATGTCCCACCCAAATGAGGTGCTCCTCCAGCTCTGGACTTGAATGGGTGTTCAGCTCTTCCAGTTCAAGCAACTCAAACCAAGAGATACACTGAGAGAGTAAGGATTCCAGCCTGGTTCTCCTAGAAAGGATGGAAGGGTTGGGCATAGGGAGTTGCTAATTGCCACCTGTTTTTTACCTCCGGCAACAGCAATTTCACACGGTTCAAACCACCCTTCTGTTTTCTTGCTCTCAAAAGTTTAGGACCGTGGTAAGACAAACTGCAGAAGCCTCTTTGATCTGGCTTCTATCAGTATGCTCCCACACTGTCCTCAAAAGAAAAAGAGTTTATTTTGTTCTAATCCAACCCTGCCAGAAGTTCATTGACTTCACCAACAGGAACTTCTGAAATGTCTCTTAGTTGGTGCTATAGACTGAATGTTTGTGTTCCCCCCACAAACAGATTCACAAATTCATATGTTGAAATCTAAACCCCAGTGTGATTGTATTAGGAGGTGAAGCCCTTGAGAGGTGATTAGACCATAAGGGTGAAGCTCTCATGAATGCAATCCCTGCCTTTATAATGGAAACCCCAGAGAGCCACTTTGCCCCTTCTACCACATGAGGACACAGTGAGAAGATCACATCTATGAACTGGGAAGTGGGTCCTACCAGACAGGAATCTGCCAGCACCTTGTTCTTGAACTGAGCCTTCAGAACTGTGACAAAGAAATTTCTGTTGTTTTAAAGTACCCAGTTGATGGTATTCTCTTGTAGCAGCCTGAACTAAGACAGTTGAATTCAATGCTTTGGGTAAGGTCCGGACTCCCACATATGACACGAATCCCTAGGACCTGGATCAAAGTCACTTGTTTATTTATGTAGGCAGATGTAGAAGCCTGCATTTGAAAGAGTTGTTGTTTAGTTGCTAAATCATGTCTGACTCTTTGCAACCCCATGGACTACAATATGCCAAGCTCAAATACAGGTCCATTGGGTTGGTGATGCCATCCAATGACCTCATTCTCTGTCACCCTCTTCTCCTGTTGCCCTCAATCTTTCCCAGCACCAGGGTCTTTTACAATGAGCTGGTTCTTTGCATTGGGTGGCCAGGGTATTGGAGCTTCAGCTTCAACATCAGTCCTTCCAATGAATATTCAGGATTGATTTCCTTTAGGATTGACAGGTTTGATCTCCTTGATGTCTAAGGGACTCTCAAGAGTCTTCAGCACTACAATTTAAAAGCATC